TGTTGTGCCTCTGGGCAGAATTACACTCAGCTCCAGGCTACCCCAGAGCCCCGGGGATTCCGTGAGCGTCCTGCGCTCACACACCCTGTTAGTCGGTGGGGTATTTCTTCCACTGATGCTCCAAAACCGCACTGTCCAGGCAGGCGCACAGAGCAGGGTCCGCACAGCACCCCGCAGTCCCGGGCTGTGCCCCGGGCTGGGCAGAGGCTCTGCATCCCGCATCCCTCCGGCCAGGGCACGCCTCACCTCCCGCCGGGCCCCAGCCCCGTGGCCTCGGCCGCCCTCGCAGACAAATCCCCGGAGGAAGCGGTCATTAAAACAACAGGGCTACTTATCTGCCGCCAGCCGATTGCCGCAAAGCACTTCCCACGCATCGCCAACTTACCCTCGCAGCACCTCTCCGAGCCGGGCCAGCCCGCTGTGACCTCTCTCCGGACACCCTGGGCCTCCCACGGGGACAAAGACAGGAGCTGCGTCCTGCAGAGCCAGCGCTGCCAGCCCAGCCCCAGCACCGCGGGGGTAATTGCAGGATGGCTTGCAGTTAATTGTTGGATATACCTGGGTGGAAAAGTGCTGGGCGTGCACCTTCCGGAAAAACCTGTCCCTGCCCCTCCTCCCCGGTTGCCCCCAACCCCAAGGCTGGCCCTGAGTGCGTGCTGAGGAGGGAAGGGCCCCACCTCGCCTGTGGCTGCAGCCTTCCCCTGCCTCAGTTTCCCCAGTGGCAGAGGGGAGCAAGCGGCTGCCACATGGAGTGGCGGGAGGAAAAACGCCCTGGAGGTGGCGAGGGGCTTGTGCCTCAGTAAAGGGCTGCAAAGCCCTGGACAAACAGGTGCCAGCAGGTCAATGTACCCAAAAATGCCATCCTACTCGAGCCCTTTGGGTCGTGCACTACAGGAACAGCTGTGTTTCCAGAAGGGATCCCTGGCACTTACGTGTGGACAGCCAGTGACACGAAAAGGGGGAACAGCTTGAAATTTCCAGCCCAAACCATCCTGTGGTTCTGTTCTCTGCGGAGGGCTCCGCGTCCCCCGTGCCCACAGCCCGAATCCCTCGGCGGGCAGGCGGGATGCTCGGCTTCCCAAGGAAAAGCCACTTTCCCGGCAAGAAGCTGGGATTTGGTTCCCTCTAGTGTCGCCGCGTTCCGTTGCTGAGCGGGGTCCGGGGGAGCGAGGACAGGGACGAAGGGACTTCGTCGATGGGGGGGAGAGCGGGGTCCCTGTCCTCGCCAGCTCCAGGGCCTCTGCACAGTTTTAGCAAGCTCATGGGGCTAAACTGGCTGCCCAGGACAGCGGTGGAGGGATTTAAAGCAGGGATTTAGAAGACAGATATGTACAGATGTGACCCCTGGGGACGTGGTTTAGTGCTGGCCTTGGCAGGGTTGGTTAATGGACTTGGATGGTCTTAGAGGTGTTTTCCAACTTCTCTGGTTCCAAAGAATGGTCCTGAGACACATGGGCTGGGTTCATGGGGACCCTCCTTTGCTTCCAGCCACATCCCGCTGAGAATCCCACTGTAAATCCCACCGGGAGGAGCCAGCCTGTCCATCCCTGGGCTGTGCTCCCACAGCATCGCTGCCCCCGGCGTGCGAGCAGTCACTCCCCAATCACCTCCCCTCTGGGGCACGTGCAATATGGAAAAGGGGACTGGAATGTCATTTCCTGGGGCTGGAGGAGAATTCCAGCCCGGGGAGCGCTGCTGTTTTTGCAGAGGTGCTGCCGCTGCTGGATGCGCTGCCTTTTCAGGAGCAGAGCAGAGGGAAGACGAGGCACGTGGCTGGCTCCCCGCCAGCTCAGCCCATCTCTCCTCTCTCCAGTGCTCCTCTCTGGCTCCCTGAGTCACCATTTGCTGCTCTCCTCTTTAAACTAATGAGGAGACATTTTGCATTCGTGTTTCCTCATGGGCGAAATGCGTCCCTGGCACCACGGAGCAGTGCTGGCAGCTCCTCCCTGGCTGCTGCTGCTCCGGTTCTGGCCCTGCTGCCTCATCTCCTCACCTTCAGTCAGGGATGAAGCACAGGCACAGGCCAAGCCACAGCTTCTCCCTCCTACCTGCCCATCCAGAGACCCACGAAGCAAACCGGGAATAACCAGCACCAAGGGGAAGGATCTGTTTGGATCTGGAAGCCTTCCCAGAGGAAAAGACCCCTCCAGTTGTCCACTGTATTATTTACCCAATCTCCTTTGTGCCGCAGAAAAGATTTACTTTGAGAAGATTAATGGCTCAAGGGGCTGTGAGAGAAATCCTCCGAGATTGCCTGCTTCAGGGGAGAAGGCAAACACCTCCCTGCCACAGCCACGGAGCACAGGGGGCACAAGGAAAGGGCTGAGGGGCTGGGCTTGTCTGTGGGACACCCTTTGATGGGGACAATGACTCACCCTGGGGAGAGCAGGACCCTCTCATGGGGCAGAGGCAGGAGGAAGGAGACACAGTGACCTTCTCCTGGGGTGCCCCCAGCTTCTCTCTCCCAAAGCTCCAGGGCTCAACATCCAAAACAAATGACTGTGGAGGCTTGGAGAGCTGCTGGCAGCCCCTCTAGCCCAGCTCAGGGGCCACATTTCCCGTTCATCCTGTCCTTGGTTTGTGCCTGTCCTCTGCTCCTGGCCCCATCCTGGAGGAGCACTGGGCTGGGCTGCTCCCAGCTGAGCTCCGATCAGCCCCTGCCCTCCAAATGTCACAGCAAGGGTTTGGGTGCTGGGGCGTGCCCTGCCACCGCCCCCCGTCAGTCCGGGCTGGGCTGTGGGGCTGTGCAGGTGCGGGCACACGTGGGTATCCCCAAGCCGTGCAGAATAATGCCATTAATGCCATCTGGTGCCGAGACGGAGATCCCGCATGAGAGCCAGACACGGCTTTTCCCTCCCCGTAATCCCAGAGCCACGGGGGCTCCGTCTGCGGGGCTCACGGGGAGTGAAGGGCACGGCTGCAGCCCTGGAACGCTCGGGAGAGGGAAGGAGGGGAGCCCTGGGGCTCAGGGCTGTGAGACCTTGCTGAGGACGGGCTCGTTTCACACCCTGCTGCCTTCCTGCCTGCTGGGACCTTCAGCTCCTGCTTCTGGGGGCCACAGCCCCACCACACTCAGCGAGGTGTGGGCAGGGCACTTCTGCTGTGGCCAAACCCTTCTGTGCTGTTGAACAAGCACTTCTCATAGAGTCTCAGGATCATTTAGTTTGAAAAACACCTCTAAGACTATTGAGTTTAACCATTAACCATTTTCTCCCTCGGTCGAAGGACTCCTGTCCCTGCTTGAGCTGTGCAAAGCTACAACGGGTCTTTCTTTATTAGTGGGTCACTGTCAAGTCAAAATTATATTCCTAAATAATCTCCTTACTGTGTTAAATAAGCACCTCAGATTAGACAAATTGCATGGATTTTGCCTAATAACCTTCCCACAGCTAATCCTATTTTTCTGTCAATGTCTGACCTCGGTCAAAGCCCAAACGGACGCAGGGAGTTGGTTTCTCCATCCCGGTTGTGCTGGGATGGTCGGGGTCACTGAAGGCAGCCCCTTGCACACCTGAACAACCACAGCAGCTTCAGGTGAGGGGAAGAAACCCCCTGAGTTGGGGTTTCTCATCCAAACCATTCCCTGGTCAAGTAACCCCCAGACTGATGAGACTGGAGTGAGCTCCTCGCTGCATCCCTCCCTGAACCCCTCCTCCGCTGCTTGTTTGGGGTGCCCCGAGGCTCCCTGTGGCCCCAGGCCGGCAGGGGAAGGGGCGAGGATGCTGGGGCAGGGTGGGGGGCAGCAGTGGGACAGGACAGGCAGCCCTGTGCCCTGCCGTCACTAGGTGTCTGTGTCGGGCCGGCTCTCTGCACACAGAGCGAACCTCCCTCCTCACCCACCGCCCAATAGCGGCAGAGTTTTGATTATTTTTTTTTAATTTATTTTCTTTTTTTTTTTTTTTTTTTTTTTTTT